CATTCTCTTCCTGCTTTAATCACCCCAAATCAACCACACACGGCTTTTGACAGTTCCAAGAACAAACCATGTTCTTCTCTGCCTCAGGGCCTTTGCACGCGCTGTACCTTGTGCTTGGAAAGTACTTACTTTCGTGTATCTTGTCTTATCTTCTTATGAAGGCCCTCTGGACCCCTATCAGAGATGGAGCTCTCCTTTCCAGGTCTGTCAGTCCTGGCTTCAGCCCGAGGGCAGGGGAGCCCTGTCAGGAGCCCAGACCACCTGTGGTCCAGGCTGACACATCCTGTTCCTTCTCTCCTTGCCTTGTCCCAAACACAGACTTTCTCATCTGTTTGCCAGAGTCTTATCAAGGGAAGACAAAGTGGAAAGGGGATGAGAGGAGTCCTAAAAAGGAAGCAGAAATGGGGATAAGAGCTAAGGAAAAATGCAGCACATGCCCACCTTAAGAGAAACACAGACTGGGAGAAAGAGATTGGCAGGATGGAAAGAAGGGGAGGGCATCTGAGGTGAGACAGTGGAGGCCTAGGAAGCAAAGGAGAGAGGAGGGACAAAGGAAAGGCCTGCAAAGCCCAGGGAGAGTGCCATGACATCACTAGAGGCGCCAGAATGTGGACAGAAGGGGCCTGCACCTCTATAGGAAGGGGGATTCATTCTCAGGGAGCGCTGGACTCTCCCATCCCATATGCAGAAGCTGTAGAAGTGTCTCGTCCCCCAGGTCACGCTGCCCTCACTAGCTGAGGAATCAGGCAGAGGCCCTCCAGACCCATCTTGGCCTCGCTCAGCACCACAAATGACCTGAGTCCCCGGTCACCCACATCACAAGTGGAGGCTCCCCTTGCCCACCTCTGGAGGCCAACAGAGATAGGCCTGTTGAGGCTCGGTCCCCATTGCGGGCCACTGGGAGACATTCTGGAGTTAGACTCAGTCTCCGTCGACGCCTGATAAATCGAGGCTGGTACAGAAAAGCATCACAGGCAGTGAGGTGTGGAGCCTGGTGTCTGTCAAAATGCCCCCTGGGTTGTGACCTCTCCCCCTGGGAGTTGGGGGCCCTGGGTGTCAGTCATGTCACCAAAGACTGGCATTTTGATGCAGCTTCTTTGGGCATCAGTAAAGTTCTTGGGAGACTAAAAATGCAAGCCTGTTGCTTTAAATTCAGTTATTTTTATGCCATACTCTGCCCTTCATGGTGTCACATAAAATATCTTACACATCTTGAACTGTGAGAGAGAAGTGCACTCTCCCTGATACTGTTATCTCAACAGGAGAGAGATCACAATGTCTCTTGTCCCCTGTGCAGGAAATTGAGGGTTCAGATTCAATGCCCTTGTTCAGCTGCTGTGGGACGGTTTTTACCCAAGAGCTCAGGTGGCTAAGACATTCTGGAAACCACACCTCCTGACTCTAGCTGTTTCTTGCTCTTGGTTTTGGTCCCGAAAGCCTTCAGCACCCCCTGCCTCTTGAGGGGGTAGGTGGGGGTCTTCCAGGTTGGGCCTTCCCTCCCTTGTCACTCACTGAGGGGCCAGGCCACTTTTCTGTGGGGTTCAGCAGCCTCACTGATGTCCTGATCCCTGGTCTGGCCCTCAGCTCACCTGCCCAGTCGCTCAGTATCTGGGGCCTGTGGATTCACTGGCCTCCCTTCTTGCTCATCCCCGTGGTCCTGGGCCCCCAGCACTGAGGACGAGCTCGGAGACGCACAGTAGCCCACTGCTGGCCCAGACTTCTTCCCTGACCACTGTGCCTGCCTGATCTCTCATCTCTCACAGGGCCTTCCGCCTGTCCCACCTTGGCCCACCCTCTGCCTCTGCTCAGGGCCATCCTGTCCTGTGCAGTTGGTCTCTGGGTAAGTCTCCTTCTTCTTGTCACCATGTCGCTCACCACCAGGTGGTAGTGCTTCCTACCTCTGGGTCTCTGGTTGTATCTGCTTTTCTCCTTAACCCTCTTCACCAGCCAAGCCACACATCATCCCCCCTTTCCTGCCTACATCCTGCCTTCCTGGTCAGGCAGCCTTTCCACAGATCACTCCCATAGAGGAGCCAGAGGGGTCTCATCCCCTCAGCTGGGGACCCCAGCCCTTCCTACTTCTTGCCTGAGCACTCCTTCTAGGCCTCTGTTCTTCCTCGTTTCTGGGGCCCTCTGCCCCTGGCTGTGGCCAGGCCAGCCCACTGCTGTTCCCACACTGCAGGCCAGTGCTGTCCTCGGCACTTGCCTCCTCGAGCCAGTGCACGCCGAGTCTTTCTGCAGCAGCGTCACCCTGAGCCCTGCGCAGGCTATGCTCAGCGAGGGCCTGAGTGAGGGAAGTGGGCGCCTTTTTCTCAGCAGTAAATATGCCGGGCTTGCGGCTCTCCTGCTGCCAGCACTGCAGGCACAGCCGCCGGTGACGCGCACACGGTCGTGACGGTCAGACTTTGTCTGCAAAATAGGCAGCGGTTGAGTTGTTTTTTATTTATTTACTTATTTTTAAAGATTTATTTATTTATTCATACAGAACTGGGGTACAGGCCAGAGATGCAGAGGGTGAGAGGACTCACTGGAGCCAGGGTGGGGAGCAGAACTGGCAGATTGACTGAAATCCATTGCTAAGAGCAGCGGGTGAGACAGGAGAGGTCTGCGCCATGTGGGTCACCTCCCTGGCCGGGATCGAACTTGTGCTGCAGTGGCTGCAGAGAGCTTCACAGTGCTCCGTCTTAACCTCCTTGCACCACCAGGATGGCCCCGGTGGTTGAGTTTTCAACCCTTGGGGGTCCACAGAATATGTTCAAGTGTAAACTACTTCTCAGGCCTTCACTTTCCAGGAGGAGGGTCATAGCTTCCTTGCAATTGCTGGTAACGGCAGGGGAAGGTGTTTCAGAAACAGGTTCCCAGGTAGCCCTCTGACAGGAATGAATTTGAAGAGGAAACTTCTAGATCCCTGTGACTTTGCCCCTGGCTGGTAGCTGAGAGCCACGACCCTTGGGCGAGGGCACTGAGCCCACTTTCCAGCACTGTAGTCCAGCGCAAGGTGCCCTGTTTCTGTGCCCAGAGCAGCATTCTGGATTCTTCAGGTTACACTTTATCATGAGGAATAACTGTTGTCCATGAAAAGGTGATCCATGCAGTTGAGGTGGAATTATTAAAACTATGTGAAGCAGAGAATGCCAGTGTCCCCATGTACAGAAATCCTTCTCTGCCTTCCTTCTGGCTCACACAGGACTGGATGGGGGAGCCAGTGTGACTGGGAAATGCCCAGTGGGCTGGCCCTGCCCCATGGCTGCCACCCAGCATCTTGGCAGAGTGGGCTTCGGGCTATAGGGGGTAGGAGAGATGGAGACCAGAGATGACACAGCTCTTCCAGAAGCTTGGCTGGGCGAGGGAGAAGCCAGGGAGTGGCCGGGAGAGGAGCTGTGGTTTGAGAGGCTGTGGCTTGTGGCTATACTGTAAGCTTGTCTGTCTGCAACCTCCTGTGAAGCAGCCCCTCAGAGCTTCCAAAGAGGACCCAGCTGTGGTACCTTCCCTTCAGGGAGCTGCATTAAAGCAGGCAATGCTTTTCTGATCAAAATGTATGATAGCAAAAATTCTAATGCCCATGTTTCTACCGTGCAACTAAGTGTCTTCATGACATGCCAGCACCTCTGGTGTTGATATTGGCTCAGGATCCTCTGCCTCCACATTCGGAAATTTGGTCCCTGTGAAAAGTTAAAAAAAAAAAAAAAAAAAACGGGTGGGGGCAGAAGAGGGAAGCAGCAGGCTTGGCTCCCCCGCCATGGCCTTGAGTCCCGGGCCGTTGGAAAAAGTCTGGATGAAGAATGGGTTTGGAGCTTGGCTCAGTGTGAGTTTCGCAGCAGCCAATGGAAACTTCCAGGAATGCTGCTCTAGGCCAGCCGAGGGCTGTTTCCGCCGCCACTTTTACAAGATGCAGACCCCCTCCGCGGCTGGCTGGCTGGCTGGCTGGCCGGTGCTGGGAGAATGTGACCATCTCTTTCAGTGCCTCTTGGGGTGCATCTCATATTCCAAGGGCAGCAGCTTTTCAGGCTCTGTCCTGTGCCCCGGGGTTCAGAGCCCTCAAAGCCTCAGCCAGCTTAGTTAGAAGGGGCCAGCTGCCAGGCAGAACCATCTCCATGAGTGACCGACATGGTGCAGGATGCTGCAAGAATTTATAGCAGCCTTAGAGGGGAAACTCCCTCCCCAAATGTTTCAATGTTTTATTAAATATATGAAAGGAAAATTTCCTTTCCACTGAACCAAGGCCCAGAACCTTCATGGAGCCGCAGGGAAGGTGGCCAAACCTCTTGGGGAAGTCCACATACAAATGGGTAAAATTAATAGAAAGTTTTGTTCTTAACTGACCCCTTTCTGATGCCAGTAGGCTGCATGGCACAGGAACCATGCCTTGTCACAGTGGATGCACCCAGTGCCCAGGGTGGGCCTGGCATGCACTCAGCCCTTGGTGAGTGAAGTGAGTGCCAGCAGCAGCAATGAGTGAGGCCTGAGCTGGGTGCATGACTGGTGGGCCAGCCCCCTTCTGAGGGGCACCAGGCTCCCTGCCACCCACTGTCCTGCTGCTGATACTGTCCAAGCCAGGGGGTGTGGGCTGATGTCACAGCCTTGTCAAGACTGACCCAGACCCACAAAGCACAGGCAGCCCCAGCGACACTGGGGGCATTTGCAGGCCACACTGCCAGGTCCCCAGGCCAACCAACGTGCAGGGGGCGGGGAAGGGACAGAGATCAGGGAACCGGGGGTCAAGCTGGCAAGTGCTGACACCATGCTGAGTCCCTTCCGTGTCCAGGACTGCTGTGAGCACAGTGTCCTGATCACAGGGAGAATGGGCTCAGAGACATGGGGAGTTGTCACCTGCTGTGGTCACCCTGGGGCCTACCCCCCAGGTGGCATATTCCTGCAGTAATTCTCACAGGATTCAGCTGGACGGAGGCCCCTCCAGTAGAGAGATGGATTCACTGAGGAGGCCCCCAGGCAGCCTGGTGGTCTCCTGGCCCCTTAGCATGATCCCACTTACTTTGCAGACTGTCTCCATCCTGGAGCAGCGGTTGACACTGACGGAAGACAAGCTGAAGCAGTGCCTGGAGAACCAGCAGCTAATCATGCAGAGAACAACATCGTGATCAGGGGAGCAAGAATCAAGAGCTCGCTCGATTTGGAGGGTGACAGACCAGGGATTTTTACTGTGGGACCTGGGTAAATAAATAAAGGGGACTCAGCTCTGTGGGGGTCATCTCCAGCCCCAGGGGCTCTGCAGCTCTGCCCCATCTGCACCGGAGCCGGACACCTGGCAATGATCAACATTTAGTTTAATGCGAAGGAGCCACTTGAGAAGGTGACTGTGGAGTCCTGAAGAGCCTCCCTGGGATCGCAGCTCCCCCAGGACCCCAGAACCGCCATAGCTAGGAAGTGACTCCCCTCTGGCTGGAGGAACCAGTTTATCTGACAGACAGGCCCATCGGTGGGACCCAGATTGAGCTATGAACAAGCCCTTAGGGTGCGGGTAGCTTTGCAGTGGCCTTATTTCTGCTCCATGCATACTTACTGGGACCTGGAGACTTCCTGCTGCGTGGTGTGAGGACTAAGGAATCCGAAAATTAAAATGGACTTTATTGAGCTTTCCAAGAAATGGCTTATTCTGAGTGAGAACTCATCGGCCCCCACCCCTAGGGCCTACAAATGGAAAATGAAAATGGTGATTTGGGCAGGCCCCAGCCAGGGTCACTTCTGAAGCCCAGGAAACCCTTGTTTGCAGCTGTTTTGGTGTTTGGGGAGCAAGAACAGCTGGAGCCCCTGCCTGCCACCCACCCACTCCTGACTGGCCCCAGCTGGCTGCAGTTGGGTCCTGGAGGCCTCAGGGACCTGCGTTTCTATCTGCTCTCAGGGTTTCCATGGGCCTCCCTCTCTGCATTTGTTTGGGGATGGTCAGGTGAATGTTTTCCATATGTCTAGGTGTCATCCACTCCTTCAACATTTGGCTTTTTGGGCACCGGCCCAGCTGAGCAGGTACTACCCTCCAACACCCTTGCCTGGGGGGGCTCAGGGTAGTGCTAGATCTCAGGAACACTTGGTACTTGTGCAGAAGTGCTTGGGCCTCTGTGGTGTCCAGGTGAGATGCTTAAGAACTGGCGCTGGTAAAGAGGCAGCCTGTGTTGATACCTGGCGCGTGACAAGACTCGGGAAGCGGCCTCTTCCTGTGAGCGGGGAGCTTGCAGCAGTCTGAGATCAGCCTCAGGCTCTGCCTTTGGCCAGTTGTCTAACCCCCATGTAGCGACACAAATCTTGGGTTCTGCTGAGTGGTGATAACTGCCCCCTCCAGGTGGCTAGAGGAGGGCCTGCGCTGCCCAGAACAGTGGCACAGCAGGTCGGCAATGAAAGCCTATCATGTCCACTCCCATGGTCCCACTGGGAGTGGGACCTGCTGCCCATGACACACTCCCCATCAGCTGCAGGTGGGGAATTGTCTGCTGTCTCAGAATGTTCTGGAAGCCCCCAAACACTATAGTCCTCCCTTGTAGGTGAGCTGGTCTGAACTGACTGGTAAGATCTTCAGACAGCCTCAGGTGATCTGAGGAACCCCACCCCCTGAGGCCTTTTAAGGATAGCTTGGGCAGCCTGAGAAGCCTGCTCAGAGGGGACACCGCTTGGCGCCAGCTTTGTCATCACCTGCCATGCCACCTGCCCCTGCCACTGACAAGCCGGAGGCTGCCCTCTGGGAACTTCTCGGCCTGGGGCTGGGGCTCCCTGGTGGTCTGAGCAGCCAGCCCAGGGCAGGGTCATCTCCAAAGACAGATGATGCCCTTGCTGGGGGCAGTAGGACAGGAGCAGGTCTGCAAAGAGTTCTGTGGAGCTCTTGCTCACAGGTCCGCCCAGAGTGGCCATTGCACCTGTCTTCACTTGACAACCAGGAACAAGTTTTGAATTTCTTTCTGAAATCCATCTTCCTCTGCAAGAGAAAGTGTGGGTTAGAAAGGATTTGGGAAATGATCTGGAAATAGTGGTGTGATCCTTGGTGGATCCTTGCTAATGGAAGCTGAATCATAGCTATCAGATGTGAACTGTTGGCAGGGATCACTCACTCCTCACATCACAGTCTTGGCTTGAAAGATCATATTGGTGAAGACAATGGTTCTAGAGAGCTAACTTGTTTTTAAAACCACTAAGAGATCCACCTTCTGCAAGCATAGGGGTAAGTTGTATCACCCTGCTGGGGGCAGAGCTGTGGATGGCTTGAGGTGCTCACCTGTGCCAGATTCTTATCGAAAGTTCTTTCCTTGCTCTTGTGGGGCCTCATTCATGACTTTGTTCCTCTGACTGAGAAGCCAGAGGCCCAGGTCTCTTGGGGAAGGAGTGCAGGAACCCAAGGGCTCCGACCCGTCTGGTGACCGTCCGTCTAGCCTCAGTTCCGTGAAGGTGCTACAGGACCCCTGGCCTGGGTAACACGAGCGTGGCAGTGGTGGCCGACAGGGTGGCATGTGGGCCCACGCGCAGACGAGGGGCGTGGACTGGGACTTAAGGTGACTCGATGAGGTTGGAGACATGCGACAGAACCCTGCGTTTCCTCAAACAACACTTCTGGTCACCCTGACCCAGTGGCTCCCCTGTGGTGGGGGGGCCCTTAGTGCCCACCCCATTCCTGCCCCAAGTGCAAAAGCAGCCCGCTGGAAAAGCATATACTTCAGTCATCTCTCCTAATTTTGGATTTTGGTAACGGCTCCCAGAAAACCAAATTGTAAGCATCTCTTTTTTTTTTTTTTGGCTCAGAAGATGAGTTTAGACTAGGTTTTTTTTTTTTTTTTTTTTTGGTCAGGAAATGCATCTCAATGGCAATTCCCACTCCACTCCTTCAGTGCCCTAATTTTTCTAAGATAAGAAATAAAAGAATAGGTGTCTGTGATTTAAATGATTTCCCAGTTTTCTCTTTGCCAGATTCTTGGAGTTCCAGAAATGAACCTGTACTTACTGCTGGGAAAACTGAGGGAGGTAGGCTGGCTGGACAGTGTAGCCAGACGGCCCCCAGCTGAGTCCACCCTAACCTGGGGCGAGCCAGCTGCTCTTCCTCCCAGAGACCCATGCCCGGGACCACCTGACCCCACGTTGCTCCAGGCGGCACAATCCAGCCTCCCTCCGGTCCAGTTCTTGCCCCGTCTCTCCATCTGCCAGGCTTCAGGGATTCTGCACAGCAGGGAACTGTGTGGGGAGCAGGCTGCCAAGATGGCAGAGCAGGAGCTGCTGGCAATCCAGGACCCTCCCTCATCACCCAAGTCCAGATTGCAGCTCTGCCCCCTCCTCGTCCTGTGTACCTTGAACCAGTGCCCTAACTGTTGAAGTCTGAGTGTACCTGTCCGGCGCGCCAGGTGCTCAGAGCAGGGACGGGCACAGAGCAGAAGTGGTCAGTGTGTGACGTGTGGCCCTCACAGGCCTAGGAGGAGACTTCTGGCAGCTCCAGCCCCTTCCCTGGAACTTGGCCCACGTGTCAGTGAGGGTGGAGGGGTTCTGATGGTTCAGAGTCCGTCTGGCTTTGAATTTGTATGTGGTCTGAGTTATTTCTTGATTCTGTGGCCAATATCATGGGCACCCCCAGGGATGAGGAAACACTTGTCAGCCCTTGCTAGCTGAGAAGTGAGCACTCCTAGGCCACAGTTTCTGTTGTCCCTGAGGCCAGGCCACCTCTGGGGCCAGCCCAGACTGAGGGGTAATGTTTGTGATTGCCCGGAATCCCGGAAACCCAGCCCTCTGAGTGAGCGAGAGCAGGGTGAGTCACTCTGGCCCTGTTGTCCCTGCTCCCTGTCATTAACCTCCTCTTCCTAAGCGATTTGCTCAAGATGAGCCCCTGATGGCTCCAGCCTTAATTAATGTGCGGCCATCTCGGGGACAGGAATCCTGCAGGGGGTTGTCTCCTGGCCAACTCCCCCGCCCCAGGCTACAGAGGATGGAAAAAAGCTTGTCGAGGGGACAGCCCCAGACTGGTGGCAGCCTGGTGCCGTGGGGGCATCATTCCATCTCCTGTGAGCATCACCTGCCTGGCACATGGCTTCCTCCATTGCCTAGTGGGCTTCAGCCCGCTCCAGCCAGGTGGCCCTGGCACCGAAGGCTCATTCAACCTCCCCCGGAATAGCTTTCTAGATGCTTCACCCCTTTGTCTGACCTGCAAGTGCCAGGACCAGGGCTCAGGCTCTTCACAACCTTGCTCAAGATGAGGCTGGAGCTAGGCCAGGGAGCCTGGGGCACAGCCAGTAGGAAAGCTTCCTGTGCCAGCCCCTCCTCCAGCTGGTGTGGAAACACTCTCCCAAGAACCTATTTATAGATAAGGCCAGGGAGTGCTTTTGCTTGAGGTGAGGCCACCTAGAGCCCTGTCTGTCTGGAGTGCTTCTGGGGACAGGAACCCCTGCCCCACTCACTCTCCTACCAACCCAGAGGAATCGAGCCCTGGGACAAGGAACCACAATAGGCGAGGAAGTCGCGTTCCCCTAAACTACCCTTCCTCAGCCCTGAGTTTCTCTTTCAGGCACAAGTACACACCCGAAAGTGGGCCGTGGGTCTCTTTTGTGGACATCCGGTGGGCAGAGGTCCTGCCTGCAGAGCTGGGACCCACACAAGCATCATTCAGTCACACTGACGTCAGCTCTGCTCTCCACCCTCCCCTGCTCTGCAGTGGACATTGACTTCAGAGTCATGGAAGTCCCTCAGTGTCGGGCCCCATTTTACCCGTCGTTCTGGTGGCAGGTCTGGTGTCCACACGAGTGCCCTGCACAGGCTTTGCTCTGCTGGCCTCTTCTACCCCTCTGACCTGCCCCCTGCCCTCTCCTGGCCAGGTTCAGCCCAGGACCTTACCTGGGCCTAGCAGGTCTTCTAGAACCATCCAGCACTCCCAGAATTTCCTCTGGTGACTGACCCCTCCTCCGACTGAGCGCCTCAGACTCGGACCCCGGCCAGAGACGCCCTCATGCACAAGGCTGGGATGGGAGTGCTGGTCATGCTCCCTAAGGCCAGCACATTCCCCACCCCCACCCAGCTCAGCTCCCAGAATCCCAAGATTCTTCCCCAGAAACCTCTGAAACTTGGAGTGGGGAGAAGCAGTGTAATTAGTCCTCCAGGCCTTCCAGGCAGCCACTCGCATGCGCCTGCTAACTGGAAACAGAAGTTGCTTTCTGTTCAGAGGCCCCTGTCTGGGCTGCTGCTGTGGAGCTTCATGACTGGAACTAGAAAGCTGACCTCTGCCTTCGAGTTGCCCTAATCCTGGGATCAGGTCTAGCTCCTCTCGAAGTTGGGGTGTGCTTGGTGATGGGGCCACTTGTGAGGCCCCAAGAGAATGCCCTCACACTTTGGGAGGTGTCCCGAAGTCTCCTGGCAAGGGGCTAGTCAGAGATGGCCTCCACAAGCTGGGGCAGACCAGGTGAGGCCCTTCCTGTCCTCCCCAGAAGCTCAGGCTTGCCTAGCACACAAGCCATTCCAAAGGGAGCCCCCCACAGGGAGCCAGGACCTGCCAAAATGATGTTACTTATTTCCTACCCAGCCTCCCACATCTACTCTGGACCCTCTCATCTGTTCTAAATATAGCAGCCAGCATCTCTACTCCTAAATTTGAAAAATAATAAAAAGAAAACTTGCAAGAAGGCTCATG